CACCGTCAAAAGTAAGCACAGGTATCTTATCCCCCAGGAAACCCACAGGCTCTCTCCAGTTTCCTACCTTCCATCCTCTTCCTTAGCAAAGGGACAAATTGTCCAAAATTGTCACTTCTGTTTCCATATTCTTCCTTCTATAGCCTGGTTGCTCTCTGCTGGTCCGACTACCCAACATCCTTCCTCAGTCTGAGTCCACTTGATGCCCCAGTGGCTCCCAGACACTGCTGAGCCCTCTCCTCCCTCTCTCCAGAGGCTCTTCCCTGCACGCAGGGCCTCTGGAGGCTTCTCTCCCATGCTGTTGGCCAGTTGCCCATGCTTCACATGCCTGCACTCACCTCCACTCGGCTCCTTCCCTTCAATGCCCTCAAAAGGGCTTGAAATCCCCAGATCCAGATCACCCAGATCCAGCTGCAGGGTGGGTTCTTCTCCCTGGATGTACCTGTCTCTGCTAGGAAAGGTTAGGACCTGGGCAACATCCGAGTTTCTTCTTCCTGTCCCTGTGGCCCATGCTGCCTCACATGCCTGCAAGGCTGTGATTTTGGAAAAATGACTTGTTCTTTCTGAGCCTCCATGCAGAGAAGTTGGTGGTGAGGAACAGAGAGTCAGTCACTGGGCTTCTCCACAGCATCTCCCTCCCCATCCTCACCTGGGGTCTCCTCCTGGGGTCCTGGGTGCAAGACAGTGCTCACTTGGCTGAGGTGCCAGTTTCAGACTCCTTAGGTGGCCTCAGCCTCGCCCCAACTCTGGTCTGCTTTCCAAACCTGGGTTGGGACATTCCCCCCAGCACCCTCCCTCTCTGGCCACAGGAGCCTCTCTCCACCCCCTGCCGCACACACTGTAGTTGCTCTAGGTTTCCCGCTACAGTGTGCTTTGAAATCTGCACCATCCTGCCAGGCATGGCAGTGCCTGCCTGAGATTCCCACACTCTGAGAGGCTGAGGCAGGAAGAGTAAGTTATAGCCCAGCCTGGGCAACTTATGGATTTCATGAAACTGCGTTTCAGATTTTAGAGGTGGGCTGCAGATGGCTCGAGCACAGGCTCTGAGTTTGGTACCCAGTATCACACACAAAAAAAGTTACCCTCTTGTCTGTGTCCTTGACATGGCAAACTCCTCAGAAGAGAAAATGTGCCTCCTTGTGGTGTTGCCAGGCTTGACACGTAAAATCACAAGCTATGTGGTTAACTTCTAGCTCTGCTGAGCCTGAATTTCTCGAGTATCAGTTTGCCCTATCTGGGCCTATCTGGGATAATTCTTGGGACTTCTGATGCTGAAATGAGTCTTTTCTCATCTGAAACTTGTTATACTGGCACCCTGTGCTCTGCCTGGCAGCTCTGTGCATTCGCCCCTTTCTGGTGCCTGGCACTCTGCTGTCACATTGCTCAGGGACAGGCTTCCAGCTTTAGGAGCAGGGTGAAAGAGCCACCCCATACGGAGGAAGAAGGATGAGCCACAGCACTGGGGGTAAACTGAGGCCCAGGAGGTCGGAGGCAATTCCCCGATCCACCTCCCTCCTCATTGCTCCTGTGACCCCTCCACGGAGGTAAGAAACCTAGTGTGGCCATGGGTATTCTTGATCCTGGCGACTTCACCTCATGGGAGACCAGGGGATCCATGCCCTGCTGCCACCTGCGGACACCAAGCGGCCCCCACAAAGGACACCTGCAATGTTGGATTCACTGTCACTGTGTCCTCAGGAAGTGGGTGGCCCCTGAAGACCTCACGCCACACATGGCAGCAGAGGGCACCAAGGGGACGGCATTAATCTGTGACACAGAGGTGACAGCAGGATGAAAATGCACAGAGCAGATCCCTGAAATGGCTCGGTCCCAGCTCCACGTCATTGCATGGAAAAGCTCACGAGTGCCTCTGGGCACCAGATTTGTGCCCCAGCGCTGCTGCAACGCCTCATCCCTGCTGCAGCCCCAGATGGCACTGGGGAAGGACGTCATGTCCCTGAGGCAGAGAGACCCTACCCGGACTGCAAAGCTTCAGAGGCTTTTCCAGCAGGGACCCTGGGCCGGAGCAGCGTGGAACTCACCTGGGCAGAAGCCTCTTCCTGCACTCAGTGGTTAGTCCCGGGTTGTGTGAAGTGTGGGCTAAGCCACACAAGAAGGAGCTCCACTCTTGAGAGGCGCACTACAGAATACCCATGCACACACGCATGCACAGACATGTCTGTACAGTGCTGTGAACCTGCCCCTTCGAGGCAGTGGGGTGGCTGCACTGATAATGATGGTGAACGCCCTGTTCTTGATCTGAAATAATCGTTTTCCTATATTTGTCCTCAGTACTTGTGCAACCTGCAGTTTCTCTGCTAAGATGCAGGACAAGGGGATGGATTATTCTGCCTCTATTGTCAAGTACATTTACATCAGTCTAATAGACTTGATTAAGTGTCTATTTGTTTTGATAAAGTTGTTTTTATAATGGTCAAAATTTGCAGATGAGATTTCTATGCCCATGACTCAGCAAACAACACTGGAATGATTTGCAAATGGAAAGAAGCAGAGTGCTTCTCTGTTAATCTTGTTTCTGTGGTTGCTTTCTCACTCGTACAGCTTTCCAAAGTTGGTTTCCAGTCTCATTTAGTCGCACATGACTCCAATGTGGGACACACTTGAAGGGCAGGAAGTGGTACCAAAAATATTTTCATATTATTCTAAAAAATGCTTAGTGGCTTTCTTTTTACAGTTTCTGAAGCTGCCTCTGCTTCTGTGTGGAAAAATATCATTGAGTTTCCAGCACCTGGAATGCCTAAGTAAAGTCAGCACCCAGATGCAGGGACTTCCAAGGGTGACCCCCGAAGACCACAGGGAAGGTCACCTCAGAGAGGCACAGGACGTGGCATGTGTGGAGGTGGGAACCCCAACCTGGGTTGTGCCCCCACTCCCAGTCCTGGTGCCTGGTCCCCAGGGCTGTGTCTCTGAGGATGATGGCCTTCCTGGACACAAGGTTATAAAACACTCAGCCATTGTATGTCTTCTAAAAATCTCTACTAGCCTAGTAAAGCAAAAGTAAGTTTTCAAAAGAACATTTTAGAAGTACAGCTCTCTGTATACCTGGGTTTCCACATCTGACAGTTTATCTAACCACAGATAAGAAATGTTCACAAATAGAGTTCCAGAAAATTCAAAAGCAAAACTTGGATTTCCTGTGCTGTGAACACTCTGCCGAGATCTGTGACGGATGTGCTGGTGCTAAGGGCTCAGATCCCCAGCATGCAGCCGCATTCTGGGGACCCATCACCAGGATGGCTTTTTCTAAACTGACCGTGTACAGACCTCCTAGTTTTTGTCCCCTAAATAATGCCGAGTAGCAGCTCTTCACTTGCACCTCCACCATGTTATCATTAAGTGCATGCAATCAGTTGTCCAAGAAACAGATGAGAAGAACACAACAAGTCTGGCTTGGCAGAGGCAAATGCCACTGTCCAGGGCCTTTGCCAGGCTGGCACATCCACCTAAATCGTGTGCAGCATCCCCTCACGTGACACTGTGTGAGGTGTGTGTGTGTGTGTGTGTGTGTGTGTGTGTGTGTGTGTGTGAGAGAGAGAGAGAGAGAGAGAGAGAGAGAGAGAGAGATGCAGTACAGGCAGAATGGAGCTCACTCACAGGCCCTGCAGGAGCCTCCTGCAGGAGTCCGCAGGAGCCCTGCAGTCCCTCCGCCTGCTGGGGCCTGGCAGCTTGGGATACATGCAGTGGCTGTGCCGTGCCAGTCACCTGTGTTCTGCAGAGCTGGGGGGATGGACTGTGGTCACAGGTCACTGTGCAAACCCTGAGAGGAGCCAGGTCCAAGGAGTCTGTGTTCCTGTCCCCATGTCCATCTCATGTTAGTTTCAAGTAGAGGGGAGGGAGGAGTTGAAGTGCATCCCGTGCTTTCACTTAACACAAAAGTCACTTTTAACAAAAAGAATGACATTAGAGCTGTAACAGCCTCACTTCATGAAGTGGATAGAGTCCAATTTTTTCTCTGATTTTCCATCTTAAAGTAGATCAGAGCAGTGTATGGTGGTGCACACCTATAACTCCAGCACTCAGGAGGCTGAGGCAGGAGGATTATTCTGAGTTTGAGGCTAGCCCACACTACATAGTGACTTCAAGGCCAGCCTGAACTACACAGCAAGACCCTGTCTCAAAAAATTTTTTAAAAAGTAAATCAGAGAAAACATATCACACCAAGATCTTACATGGAAAATAAAGGACATACTTTAATAGCCAACAAGTGGGGTCAAAACTGTCCACCCAGTGTTTACATGTTTTTATAAATAGGCCTGTGAAATATTTAATGTTTCATCATGATCCAAAACATAACAGAAGAATGATTGGTAACTTCTGTCCACATTATTCCAGTTTCTGATAAAAATAAAACTGAGGGTTACTGTGTTGTGGAGAGAGTGTCCGTAGAGCTCTAAAGGAAAGGGCCCAGTGAGCCACAGACTTCAGCCAGGCTGGGCCGGTGTCTGCCAGGCATCCTGGAGGTCCCTCTGCACTCCCACACCTTACAAAATTGCCAGTAGAAGACTGGAGACCCTTAACTTTCAAGGCATTTGGCAGAAACTGGTCCTGGTGTGCGGCAGCTGGCCTGGTGCCTGGGTCTGCTCTGTGGACACACACTGTGCAGTCTGCTCTCCTTTTGCTTTATAGATTAAACCTGCAGGGACCTTGCTGTTTGTTCAGTATGTAAAGATGCCAGGAAGCTGACAGGGTCTTGGCGAGCTTCTTGCTTGACACGGGGAGCTGAGCTTGCTGTTCTGCTCTGAGTTCTGGGAATTTCTGCACTTTTTTAAATGTTCAGTGATCCTGATTTCACCACCTGGTCATGAAAAGTCAGGTTCCAAGGCAGCTTGGTAAGTGGCCTCCTTGTTCCTCCAGTGCTGCTCCCACTCTGGATGAGTCTCTGAGAGTGTTCGGACAAGGCAGCCTCAGGCATCGGGCGGGATGCTCACCCTCTTCCCTGGTGTTCACAGATGGCCTCTCCCGTTTCTCTTCTCTTGTAGCCAGAGCTACCTGCAAGCTGTGAGTGAGGTGCCTGTCAGTCACAGCTTGGACCCCGCTGCCAACTACAACTCCCCGAAATTCCGCTCCCGGAACCAGAGCTACATGCGGGCCGTGAGCACCCTGAGCCAGGCCAGCTGTGTGAGCCAGGTGGGAACCCCTCTTCCAGGCAGGAGGCGGTGGCCATGCCCCTGGTCCACATCCCTTCTTAGGGGCCAGGAGCAGGTCCTGCCTGGTATTCCCTGCAACTGACTGGAAACCTATGAGCTCAGTAAGATTCATTTTTACATTGATTTCCTATGATAAGCCATGACTGATGGCTTACCCTTGGCCCCGCCCCATGATTTAGCACTGGCTTTTTCCTTGTCCAGAAAGGGATGCAGGGAGAGTGTGTAGCCACAGTGGCTTCCCTTGCATCCTCCAGGACTGCCCAGGAGTAAACAGGCAGAGCTGTGGGCTGGAGAGGGCTCCATGGCCAGTGCTTGTCCTTCATGCACAAGACCCTGTACAGAACAGAAAACAGAATCACTGCAGCACCCCAAGGTGCTTGGTGTCCCCAGAGACAGGCAGGCAGGCTCACTCAGGCAGGGCTTGTTTCCTGCTAGGCACCAGGTCCCTGAGCAGACTCAAGGTCACCTCAGGAAGGTGGCATGGATGGGGAGCCTGGCCAGCCTTTACTGGAGTGGCCAGCCCCAGATGGCATGCTAGGATGAGCAGGCACAGTCCTGCAGCAAGTGAGAGTTGCATTTCTAAATCCCTGTTCGACTCACTGCTTGTCAGTTACAAACAGCCCTTATGGAGCTTCATACAGATGCTCTCTGCCCGCAGCCCTCCTGGAAGCAGCATAGTTGGCGCCTAATGGATGTTCACCATTATCTGGTAGAGAGCCTAGACACAGCAGGTGCTCAATAATGACACCTCACTCATTGCCATAGTAACAATAACGCATAGCACTGGCTTCTAATTCAGCACTTCACACCCCTGCTCTGGTCAGCAGGGAGCCGGCAGTGAGAGCTGGCGGGGAAGAGGGAGCCAATCTGGGCACAGGCTCCCTCCTGGCCTGCAGAGGTTCCATGTAGCAGGTCCTACCCACTAGGGAGTTGCCTTCTGAGCTTTCCCTCAGAAACCCTAAGCGGTTGCTGGCCCATAGCACAAGTATTTTACTTCCTTTATCCACCTAGATGCTACTTTTCTCTTAGAAATGGGCTTAAATTCCCATGCACAGAAAAGGGAATTCTGTGAATCTTCTTCCTAAGGACAAGGAAAGAGCCCATTCCACAACTGCAGACCAGGCCTGTCTGGATTTAGCTTTCAGGCACCCGGCATGGGTGAACTGGAAAGGGGTCCCACTGTGTCCCCACCCGTCACCCTGCAAACAATAATATAAATAGCAACGGCCACACACCCAGTGACTAGACCCTGTGGTCTGTTGATATGCAAAAGAAACTGCCTGTTCTGGCATGTCAGAAATCTGAGCTAGTTCTGGAAAGATTGAAACAGGCAGCTGACGTGAGTGGTGCCCTGAAAACTTTCTCTGCACCCAGGGACAAGGCTTGTAAAGCAGCCTTCCTTCTTTTGCCTTTCAGTGGGGACTTGTTGTGCCCATGTCACCCCTGCTACAGAGCTTGTGCACACATGTGGGAGGCGCTGCAGCTTTCAGTGCTGAGCAAAGTGACCTCCCCAGCCTCCCTTCGCACTGTGAACCCAAAATGGAGTACCCAGAAACAACCCTGTGAAAGTCACATCTTTTCCTATCTAGAAAGACACATTTTACACAGCAGGAAAGCAGACAGACTGGATGCTATTGAGGTTAAAACTCCAGGTCTTTCCTATTGCTGGGTGCTATGCCATGACTATAAATTGAACTCTAATTGACTACATCCCCAGTCCTTTATTATTATTATTATTATTATTATTATTATCATTATTATTATTATTTTATTGTGATTCAGGGTCTTACAAAGTCACTGTGTTGTCTGAACTTGAGAGTCTCCTGCCTCAGCCTCCCAGACTGCTTGGGATTTCAGGTGTGCACCACCACACCTAGATGAATTCAAGTTTTAATTGTAAAAAAACATGCAGTTAAAGTGACCCTGCAAGACTGTTTGTGGGCACCTATATCTTGCCGAGGTCACACTTGCAGTAATTTGGGGATCAGGAGCAGGAGTGGCTCAAGCGACAGTGGTGACCCCTCCAGGGTCAAAAACATCCTCCGACCCAAAAGGCATAGCCTGCAAGGTATGGGGAGTCTGCTCTCAGAATCCACTTTGGCTGTGATCAACTCACAACCAGGGGACCTGGGATTCTGCCCCTGTGACCTCAGAAGAGGCATGCACAGGAGACAGCAGGTGCCCCAAGATCCCCATTCTCCTATCCTGCACTCCTTGGAGCCCCAACCTTCCACATGCACTGATACACACTTATATGTTTGTGTGTGCAGGACACACAGGAGGCCTTGGAAAGATGTCACTTTCCCAAAGGTGACCCTCATCAGGGGTTGGTCCCAGCTCAGCTTCTGAGCACCCAGCTCTCCCTCTCCCTGCCCACTTTCCATGCGGCTCCAGTCCTGTGTTTTACTTTATCGTGTTCCCCTTGCTAATCTCTAGTGCAACCTAGGACACCTGGGGGACATGTGTCCTCCTGCAGCCGCCATCACCGAGGCCACGCCAAGGCCACTCCTGGGCACTGGCCTGGAGTCGCCCTTCCTGGGCCAGCACATCTTCAAGACTGTTGGAGATCAGGCTCTTTGGTGGAGCCTGAAACTTAAGTCAGAGGCTCCAAAAGTGTGACTTGTCTGGTCAGCTATCAAAGTAAGTCAGTGCTAAGAGCTCACATTTAGAAGGCAAAACTGGGACTCAGCAGATGCCTCCTGTTCAGTGTGTCCTTGCTGGTTCTGGACTCCTGCTGTTCAGACAGTGACAGGGACAGCAGTGCCTGTGCTGAGTTATATTCCCATGACAACGAGAAAGGACTAAAGCAGCTGTGCCTTAAAGCTGTGTCCCATGCCCAGGCCCACAGCACCAGGTCAGCTAAGCTTCAGGGAGCAAGAGCAAGGGGTGTGAGGACAGAAGTGGTGGCTATGAATGGGCCCTGGCCAGCTTCCCTGGGGACATTCAGATCTCTGTCTCCCGGTCCTCTGTACCACCAGCTGCCATCAGTCTGCAGACACCTGCTGACCTTGGAAGCTAGCTGGTCCTTGTCGTGCTGTATAACACATAGCCCAGCATGTGTAAGTTACTCCCAAGCTCAGCAGATTTTCAGTGCTGGTAAAAGAGCCCAGTTCCTGGGGTCACAGCTGTGTGACCACTATCCCTGTGCTCATTGCAGATGAGCGAGGCTGAGATGAATGGGCAGTTCGAGTCGGTGTGCGAGTCCGTCTTCAGCGAAGTGGAGTCTCAGGCCATGGACGCACTGGATCTGCCGGGATGCTTCCGGACGAGGAGTCACAGCTATCTTCGAGCTATCCAGGCTGGCTACTCCCAAGACGACGAATGTATCCCCGCCATGACGCCCTCCAACATGGCCTCCACCATCAGGTCCACTGCAGGTAAAGATAGGACCTTTGAGGTCTCTGGTGGGAAAACTCCAAGGTGCAGAGTCTGCCGGAACTGGGAGAGGAGCACACCTTCACCAGAGGTGTCACACTCACAGCCTCTGGTCACCCGTCACCAGACCATGTGCATTACAGTCACAGTTGCCATAGTGACTGGAAGCATTTATCTCCCTGATAATGTTTTTTTTCTCCTCAGAGTGGAAATTTGTTAATTGCCAAGATCTTTTAGAATAACCCAGTATCACTTTGTGAAGTTTGACGTGGAAGGGAATCCAAGTGTTGATATTTGGAAAGTGATGGCGTTGTAAATGTCACAGTGCAGGGTTTGCGGTGCAATCCTGGGGGACGCCTGCAAGGCAGCATCCAGCCTTGGTCTCTGCTGTTCCCTCAGGAAGTCCATGATTGTTCCTGTGTCTGCAGAGAGCATCCCCTTTAGCATGGACCCCCAGCCTGCATCCATCTCCTTTGGTTCCTTTGGGAAATCACATCCGTGCTCAGATGGTTTGCTACCCACCCAAATACCACTGCCTGGGATTTGATGGCACAGTTATTATTTATGTACCAATGAATACACACGGCCCAGAGCAGCTGGTAAAGCACAGCAGGAAAACCTTGCTGTACTACACAGGAAGGCGAAGGAGAGAGGCTGGGAAGTGTCACAGTGCTGAAGGATGGGGCACCCTGGGTGCTGTTAGATTAGGGATGCTGCAGTTGTGTCACAGAGATTTGAAGTACAATTGCAACAAGAAATGCTTTGTTCACGAGAAATAGTGTGGGGAACCAGGAGCCAGGAGCCATACCTGGAACCCAGGAGAAGAGCAAGCGTGGTGCCCCAGAGATGCAGGCGTCAGCTAGTGGGCAGGGTATTGCCTGCTGCAGACCCAAAGCCCAGGGTCCGGGCTGTGGACAGGGTGGGGTCTGTGGAGGGCAACAGCCAATGGCAGCTGCGTAAAGTGCCCCTGGAAGACCTCAGCTCGTCGCCTCTCCAGCAGTTTGGAGTGTTCCAGAGTAATGGCTGTGACTCGTGGGCCTGAATGACATCAGATATATATCCTCGGCATCCTTTCTCTGTGGTTTGGTGGCCCCGAGCAGGGATGCTCCTGACACTTGGGCCACTTAGCCCAGGGCCAGGAACAACTTGGGGTGGGATAGGGGGATCTGACTCTATGTCTTGTGATGACTGAAGCACTGGAGAGAGCAGAGCCCGGCTCATCCACAAAACCGCAGGGCTGCACAAGGCCAGGAAGCCGAAGGGGCCTGTATGGTGGGTGGATACTCTGTTCCACTTGTTCTTGTGCATTGTAGAGTTGGGCACCGCTCTGGGCTCCACCCCAACTCCCTAGCATGAGAAAGAGATGAAGCCTCCACTGGAAGGGTCAGGAAAGGATGAGTGCCCCACACTGCCTTAGAACAGCACTTAGAGGGGTGTGTGCTACTGTCTCTGTGATCACGTGAATCTTAAGTACTTTGCTGGGCTTCAGAGATACTCTGGAGATGTAATCACTGAGTAGGACACACGTCATGGAGAGCGTGGAGGTGAGACAATCTCACAGACATAATGCAAGATAAGGCTGAGCTGGGCTGACATGCCCTCAGGGACAGAGACCACCTTCATGGCCCAAAGTCTGCACACCAGACACCGTGGAAATGCTTCTCCTGCTCAGTCTCCCTGCCTCTCGGCCTCTTTACCTGGTCAGACTGTCCTGCAGCTGGTGGGGTGCAGTGTCACAGATCTGAAGTGGTCTGGTAGCCAGGAGAGCTCCAGGATCGGTCAATCAGTGGGAGTCAGCGGGGTTTGACCCGGGTCCCTCCTCTGCTCCTCAGGCCCAGGATTGCCTGTCACTCATGTATGCTCTTTCTCTATTACACAGAAAGAAGGCAATTTGAAAAATAGCCTACTCATAAGATTACACCAAAGAAGGTCCAAAACCCTATCTGGAAATCAAAAGTAGATGAAAACTACAGAGATGCGGGAGTTGCTGTGCCAGCAGGACCCCAGCCCCGGTGCAAGGCTTCCTGTCAGGGAGCACATGCTCCACTGCATCTGTCCTGAGCGCTCACTTTGTAAACTCCTACAGCGATGCTAGAACTGTGTAGCTACGTTTTGTTCTGTGTCTACATGAGTGTGTGTGTGTGCATGTGTGGGAAAAGAGAAGGAAGTTATTTCGGCACATTGATTTTCTTTCATGGTCCTAGAACAGGCTCTTGAAAATAAATTGAAAAAGTTATTTTCAAAAGCACTCCCAAGTGTTGGTGTAAAGAATAAGATTTGTTTAAACATTATTCTTTATGCATTCTTGAAAAGTAAAGGTGAGCATGGCTTAGTCATCTTGCCTGGTGAACATGTAAATGTATGACATTAATGTCCGTGTAATATAGTAAACCAGGCAGGCAGGAGGGACTTGGCACCCAGCTCTGGCTGGCCCTAGTGTCTGCCAAGCATCAAGGGGTTGGTGCTGCAGCAACCTGGGGGCCACTGTCTGTGGGTGGACTGGCCCTGCCCATGGTCCCCAGGGAAGACTACCTGCTCCTAAGTGCCCCTGTCCCCTGCTTCTGGCATTATGCAGAACAGCAACTACTGATTAGTGTCCTCACCTTCAATGAAGTGGCTTTGAAAACATCTAAGTTTCATTTCATACTTGGTTTCTTTCTCATCTGTGAAATGATTTATCGGGTAGATTTTCTTGTCTAAATATGCATTTCACACAGTTTTTCTAAGGAAGGGATATTATTGATACTGTGGAGGAAAATGGCATAAATTAGATTATAATGATTTTTCCCTGGGTCAGAAACTGTCTCGAGGGAGTCACAGCTGATCCCTGTAGTCACTAGAAGGAGGGAGAGCTCACCGAGCACTGAGGCAGGGAGCAGTTCGGCCGGGCTTCCTGTGGGGTTGCTCCTGCAGTAACGGATGGGGCAACTGTTTCCAGGACTCGGACTGCTAGTCAGGAGAGAGCGGATTACTCTGCCTGGGTGACTGAGCATTAGAGACGGGCAGACATTTTCAATCCTGTGTGGGTTTTTTGGTTTGTCCATTTGGTCTGTGAACTCTGCTCCTTTGTTGGCCCTTCTTGATTTGAAGAAATATAAATGTATTTAGCACTCACTAGTTCCAGTCTTCAGGAAATGAAGACACACTTCATATAATGTTGTGTTTTACTGGGGAGCAAAGTGTCCTCCATGAACACCTGGAAAAGTCTCCCCAAGAGTGAGGAGTTGAATGTGCTGCCTCAGCCTTCTTTAGGTGACCTCCTATGACCAGGGCAAGTGACCATGCCATCAGCATGCAAGCTTATATGAAGAGGTGGGGAATGTTTCTTGAAAATTTAAATTTAAAAACATTTCTGTAGATAATTTAAGTCAAAATCTGGAAGTGCAAGTAAGGTGGGCTGTTCATAAGTATTTTGGCCAATAGAGTAAAGGTGACTTGAAGTCACAACCTAGGGACATAGCAAAGCTGTTGGCCACCAGAGCATCACTGATGAACCCTGAAGAAGCACGGGCTGTGGGGCTTGCCCTGCTCCCCAGGATGGTGGGAGGTGCCCCAGGATGGGGGGAAGTATCCCCACCATGGTGGGAAGGACTGCCAGGATGAGGAGCAGTGCCCCATGATGGGGATAAGTGCCCCCACAATGGGAGAAGTGTCCCCACTCCCAGAGGAAAAAGGGCTTCCTTTGCCTGCTGGCTGACCTGTCCCTCCTGGCTCCTACTCTGAGTCAAACTTCTGGTCCGTTGTCCTAAGTAGGTGCTACCAGTCTCCTCCCTCCTCCTAGTGTCTGTCAAGCAGAATGACAGGGCATAGCCTCAGACCAGCCTCTTTCATGCAGCTAAAATAAGAGAAATTAGCTCCTTCACAGAAAAGTAAATTGCTGGAGGCCATAAAATCCTAAAACTAGACTGCATCCAAAAAGCCAAGGGATTTATCAAGCATATTTTTGGGAGTATCTGAGTGAGTCATGGGGTCATGACCTTGGGGACTGTATCCAGTCCTTCCCCCTTCCTCTCTGGCTCTTTCCCTGGGCTCTGCTTCCCCGTTGCCATGAGGTGAGCAGATCTCCTCCACCATTATGCTCTGCCATGATGTTCCTACTCAGAGCCAGCTTACCATGGACTGAAATATCTGAAACCATGAGCCAACATTAATATCTGCTCCTCTAAGATGTTTTCCTCAGGTCTTTGGTCACAGTGACAGAAAGGTGACTGATACCCTCCTGTGGCTGTCTCATAGTGAGCTGGACACATACGCACCCCACCTGGGATCAGCCTCAACCCTCAAGGACCCAGGAAGCCAGCCACATGGAGAGGGTAAACCATCATCATTGTCAAACACAACTGAGGCCGCCTGCCCACGTGTAGCCCCATCTGTGTTTAGGCTTCATGCTCCACATCAACCACAGGCACTGCTGAGCCCAAGGCATAGTAAAGAAGACCAGGGAGTTTAGGGCACTCTCTCCTCACCCATGCAGGGCTCACCTCATAAACACTTTCCATGAAACATTTAATTATACTCATACTAAGAGTTTGCCTTTAAGGCCACACTCCTGCAATCTCAACTACTTAGGAGACTTAGGCAAAAGGATCACAAGTTCAAGTCTAGCTTTGGCAATTTAGTGGGACCCTGTTCTCAAAATAAAATTAGGAAAAGGATGGCAGAATAGCTCATGCCAGAACCCCTGCTGGCATGCTTGAGTTCATTCCCCAGTGTTGAAAAGAGAAGAAAAGCTTTTCCATTAAATGAGAGGCCTTCAGTATTCAAGGCCCCAGTGCTGTTATCTTAGACACCATGGCGAGCTTCTCTCCTGGCCACTCCCTGCTCAGGACTGAGAGTGCTCTATGATGCTCTAGGTGGCTCTGATCTAATCATCTGCACCCAGGAAGTGCAGCTGAATTCTGAGTGTAGTCCCAACCCTCCTGCCTGGTGTCACAGGAAATCCACCTGAGTCATTTGTGGTACACCAAAGACCGGCCTGCACAGGACCCCAGGGCCTTGGAGG